TTGGCATATAACTCATCTTTATTGGTAAGCAGTCCATGAGCCACCTTCATAAGACAAGCCTTATTTGTCTGTCTCAAGTTTCTGATACCCAAGCCCCATGACATTTAGGTTTGCAAATTGTATTCCAAGGAAAAGCATGTACTTTTTTTACCTCCTTATTAGATCCCCAAACAAAACCCCTCATTTTTTGTTCAACTTCATGACAGGTACACAGGGGGATAAGCAAGGTTTGCATAGAATATGTAGGAAGAGAAGCCAGAATTAACTTTGTTAAAATCACTCTTCCAGCCATTGAAAAGACTTTTGCTTCCAAGCACTAAGCTTATTACTAGTCTTCTCTAGGATAAACCTAAAGGTATTTTTATTAACTCTCTTATGCGATATAGGAATACCTAAGTATCTACCTAAGTCTGCAGTGGGAGAGAACTTCATGACTCGACACAACTCTTTCTTCCTAATGTGATTTACATTCTTGGAGAAAAAAATTTGAGTTTTACTCTTACTCACCTTTTGACCCGAAACAAAACAGAACCTGTCAAGAGTGCTGGTGACCAACTCAGCTTGGCCAGCAGATGCTTCCATGAATAGGAGCAAATCATCAGCAAAAAAAAGATGAGATACGGGAGGACCTTTCTTACCAAGCTTCACAGGAATCCATCTTTTTTGATCCACCACAAAAGAGATCATGTGCCCCAGCCTTTCAATACATAGAACAAAGAGATGGGGTGAAAGAAGATCACCTTGTCTAATCCCTCTTGTTGGTTTGAACTCTTCAGTTTGGACTCCATTCCAGAGTAAATTCATGGTAGATGTAGATACACAAGCCATGATGAGATCAATAAGAGCATCAGGAAACCCAACCATCCTCATAGTCTCTTTTAAAAATTCCCAATTCACCCTATCATAAGCCTTTTCAAGATCCACTTTAATCGCCATCCAACCTTTGATACCCTTCTTGGCCCTCATAGAATGGAATCTTTCTTGGGTTATTATAATGTTATCTGAAGCATGCCTCCCTTTCTCAAAGCTACATTGGTTTGGCATTATAAGCTCACTCATGTACTTCTTCAACCTACTTGCCACCACTTTAGTAACTACTTTGTAAATAACATTACAAAGGGATATAGGTCTGAACTGGCTCAAAGTCTCTGGATTATCAATTTTTGGAATTAGACATATGAGAGTCTGGTTGATGTGCTCAACCTTTCCAGGGTCTTGAAATACCTCCCTCACAAACTTAACAGCCGAGTCTCCCACCTTTCCCCATTGAGACTGAAAGAAAACTGCATGTAGCCCATCCAATCCAGGAGCTTTATAAGGCTTCATACTAAAGAAAGTATTTTTCACCTCCACATCATCAGGAACAAGTCCCAAATTCTTCCAGTTCTGGTTCTCCAAGACTGGAAAACTACTATCAATACTCAAGCTGGACAGAAATTGGGAATCCTCTGAATAGAGACTTTTAGAGAAATTAACTACCATAGATTTTAGACTCTCAGGATCTTCCACCCACTCACCCTCATCATTCTTCAAAGCTTTAATTTTTTTCCTTCTGGTATTAGCAACAGTGGCAGAGTGGAAAAGCTTTGTATTTTTTTTCCTCAAAAACCATCCATTTGCATCTAGACCGTTGAAACCAGGTCAACTCCTCTTGCACATAAATTGTATTCAACTTCTGCCAGAGAGACTTGCACAACCTCTCCAAAGCTTCACTGGGATGCCTACACAACTCAGCCTCCAATCCCCTCAACTTGCCTTGAATCTGATACTTCCTTCTCTGCAATTCTCTGTACGTATTATAATGCCAGAGAGAAGCTTCCCTATGGAACTTTTCCTTAGCATTCACCCAATTCAGAATCTGATTCCAATAAGAGTCTACCACATCTCCAAAGTCTTCATTAGTCAACCAAGCTACAAGAAACCTAAGAGGTTTAGGTCCCTCAGAGGCCATAGAGAAGGAATCATCTTTGAGCAGTACGGGCCTATGATCAGACCCATTGAAGCTCAGATGATGAATAGACCTATTTGAGTAATTCACATGCCAAGACTCATTAACAACCAGCCTATCAATCCTCTCTTGTATCTTTCCTCTTTTCCAGGTACATTTAGGGCCTGAGAACCCTAAGTCTGAGAGCTTGCAGTCCCTTAGACAACTAGAGAATTCCTGGACACTACCCCAACAAACTTCACTGCCTCCATGCTTCTCACTATCTTCCAAGAGGTTGTTAAAATCCACCATGACAGCCCAATCTGTATCAATTGTCAACCCAATTTCTCTAAGATTCTCCCATAGAGATCTTCTTTCCAATCTTCTAGGACTACTATAAACAAAAGTAAAGTACTCCTCCTTCCCATTTTCTACCCAACAGAGTCTTGAGTAAATGAATTGATGGTCATCCAAAAATATAGATACACTAGTAACACTTTTATTCCATAAAACCCAATTTCCAACAGAGAAACCAACTGCCTATCTTCTATAATAGCTATCAAATCCCATATTACGAATAATTCTATCAGCTCTACTACCACTGAATCTAGTCTCCAGCAAATCTAGAACCTGAATCTTATTTTGATACACCAAATCTTTAATAAGAGCAGAAAAACCTTTTTTTCCTACTCCTCTACAATTCCAAGAACACACTATCATAATAAACAGAATAAATGGAAAGTACCTAAGAGCCAAATCTGCTCCCAATTACACCAGAAGATTAGACTTCGAAACTCCACCAAGGTTGGTGATGTCATCTAGGATCATGCCCTCTTTGCTATTTGTAGCCATCCTTTTCCCACCTTCAAGGTCATCTGGTGGCTTCTCTTTCAAAATATGTACCGGTCCTGAAGCTCTTCCACATCCCCTAACATTTCCAGGATCCTCTTTGCTCTTCCCATAGCTGCTGGATGCCTGATTGTTTCCACCTTTCATGATCAGAATGGCTTCTTTCTGGGGTGATTTTAATTTTTGGTTACTACTCTCTTCATAAATCTGAACCCTTGGACCTTCTTTTTTGGCATAAGATGGAACAATCTGCTCTTGCCCACCCTTCTTCTTTTCTGTATTATTCTTCCTTATCCTTGCTTCTGGATTTTTCTTTCCTGCCCCCTCCCACTAGAGTTTCCTGAACCATATAGTTCTGTACTTACATGTCGAGGCTCCACTCTGGTGTTATCATCTTCAATTAAATCTTCTAACAAAGTAAATCTAGAGCCTGGAGGTTTACTTGTGTTACCCTGACCAGCACTGTCACCCCCTACTCTCTCCTTCCTTGATCTTTGTTCTCTAATCTTTAGCTGCAAAGGAGGTTTTCTCTTTCTGTAACCTTTCTGAACATTCATCCAATTCCCAAAGCCTTCTTCCTCCCGACTCCTCTTTATATCTGCCTTATTACTCTGCCCATCATGATTCACATCATCATTTGAACACATACAATCCTCTCATTTCCCTTCCTGAGTTTTCTTGAGATTCTCAGGATTAATTGCACATTGATCCTTCCTATGGCCATACTGACCACACAAAAAACATATGAAGTGGAGGCCTTCATAACCTATATATAGTTGCCTCTGACCAATTCTAAACTTCGACAATAAACTCTTACTCAGGTCTACTTCAACACAAATGCGGGCAAACCTACCTCGATCTGTAGTCTCTTCTTGCTGTCCCTGACCATTGAAACGTAATGAGCTCTCATCAATCCTCAATGTCCAGCTCACCATGTTTCCCATCCTCCATAAATCCTTATAAGTGTAAGACTCTCGAGGAACACCAGGGATTCTTATCCATACAACTAACTTCTTCACACGATCATCATAAGGATCGAAATTAGGTCTCCATCTCTGCACAATCAAGTAGTGATCTGCAATGATCCAAGGCCTCTGTTGTTGAACAAACAGGTAATCCTGTGGTTTCTCAAATTCGACCATATAATGGTCATTCTCCAAATCTAGCACTATGTACTCCCCTTCCAGGTTTCACAATTTGTGTATTCTATTCCATAGAAACCTTGCCCCCAACCTCTTTCCCATCAGTTTCACGATCAGGGCCATTCTCCATTTTTTGCATTGTTCCAGCTTTTCCAATATATCAAATTGGTAGTAAGGATTTAGAGGATCATCCTCCTGCGTATGCTCATACACCTTAATAGCCTCCTTCTAATGTAATTCGTCTCTCCTGCTTTGAGCCAACCAGTCCTCCTCCTCATCCCCTTGTTGGTCGTCCCACACCCCATTGACCCGGAGCAAAAGATCCTTGTAGGACACCAGCTTCTGAGGTTCCCTATGATGGCCATCTTCCATCCCTGTTGCCTCTCTCTCCCGAGTTTAGATCCATCAGTTCTGCTTCTCCCTCTATAGCGCCCACTACCAGAGTCAGATCCAATATATCCGGATCAATCATGTCCTCTCCCTTGGCCTTCTTAGCTTCCCTATCCCTAATTCCATCTTCCTTAGTGTTTGGGGTTCTTCCCCCTTTCTCTACCATCATCCCCAAGCTCTGATGGCAAAGGAAATCGAAAACCCTAGCAGAGCTCTTTTTTCTTTCTCTCACGCGCCCACACGCTCAGTGTTTGGGGGTCTTCCCCCTTTATTTTCGTGATTGTCATTTTAAATGACATAAAGTAATGTTATTTTAAGAAAGATAGACACAAAAAAAATATTTTTTTATTTAAAATTTAAATTAAAAAAAATTCACTTACTTTCTCTACATAATTTTTATTTCTTATGTCTATTTTTCTCCTAAAATTATATAATTTATATCATTTACAATGAGAAACATCGAACCCTTTACTAATTATGTCATAAATTATATGAGAAATATTACTCTCCTTTCACATAAGGTAACTTATCTCATTTTCTCTCACTTCGATTTTCGCACCCTATTTTTTTTTTCTTTTTCTTTTTTCTTACAATGGTGGAACCCACTCATTTTCTCTCTACCACGTAAGATTACTATCTTATTTATGTGGGGGATGAGATTAATAAAACCCAAATTATATATATATTTTTAAAACTTATCTAAACGGACTTTCGTTGTCTAGTTTGCGGTGAAGACCAATCTGCTTTCCCCCCTTTGCCTACGAAGCCCTATTTGTGCGAGTTAACTCGTTGGCCACTGTGTGGGGGTTTCTCAAGAGGAGGCAATATGCAGGTAAACCCTTCTTGTAATCCCTCTTTAGAACCCTACATTCTTTTTTTTTTTTTTTTTTTTTTTTTTTTTTTTTTTTTTTCTAATGTTCATTATTTTCAGGCTGTAATCTAAGTAAATTGGAATCGAAGTTCTGAGAATTTGTTACTGAAAAGTAGCTGAGGGATTTACGTTTGTGTGTTTTTGCAGGCGAGTGATAGGTTTAATATCAATTCCCAACTTGAGCATCTCCAAGCTAAATATGTTGGAACTGGGCATGCAGATTTGAACAGATTGTGGGTTTTTTTTTTTTTTTTTTTTTTTTATTGTTCCTTATAAAAAAAATTCTTTTATTTTTCCATTTTTCTCTTGTCTTTCTTTTTTTTCCTTGTTTGTTGTGTTATTTGATTTTTTTTTTTTTTTTTGCTACACTTTTGTTATTTGTGTGCAGTGAGTGGGCAATGAACATTCAGCGTGATAGTTATGCATCATATATTGGTCACTACCCTTTACTGGCATACTTTGCTGTTGCTGAAAATGAATCTATTGGAAGAGAACGCTATAGCTTTATGCAGGTTCTCTTTCTTTTTTCTTCCCGGCTTTAATTTTTTAAACTACTTTTTATGGTATTTGCAAAAAGTAAACATATTGCTACAGTTTGGCTTGGTGATTTCATTGTCCTGTTTTCTGCCTGTTTGACATTAAAATAGGCTTATTTCTTCTATCCATTAATTTGCTTCACTTTATGTCAGTGAGACAGTAAAAACATGGGACTTTGTATTTCTATGACTATATAAAGCGAGCTAGTGGGTGAAGGGGCAAATTTAGGAGTTTCTTATTTAGGTGTTTGATGCTTATTTTCACTAACCAAGAAGTTAGTCAAACCATATTTTGCAGATCTTGCGTTTGTTTTTCAGAAGCTGAATTTTGCTCTAATTTTAAGTAGTGTTTTGTGCAATTTATTTTAATGAAAATTGCATTACTCCTTTTTTTGTAAAAATATAAGGGTAAGACTGTTTATAAGGATTTCACTTACCTTTATCCTCGAGGGAGTGGTTTTTTAAAATTGCATGCGCACCCTTTGAACTTTAAGGCAATTGCAAGTAGTCAACATGAACTTTTAAATCCATCAATAAAATCCTTAAACTATATGAAATGTTTCATTAGGTTGTTTCACTTTCATCCATATTTGTTTAACAATTGTTGTTAATCATATGATCACTAATTTCCTTGTCCTCACAAAATAATTTTCTATATTCTCTGGAGAAAATTAATAATTTTTTGACAAATATATTTAATTTTTCAAATATGGAAAAATGAAATCCTCTATTAAATCTTTATTTGATGTGATTTACATATACAAACCAGGTGATGACAAGTCATTAGCTGTCAACACTCAACAGTCTAATGATTGCCACATAATTAACAGAAATAGTTAGAAAGACAATGAGAATTCCCATTGTAACATCTCCCTATGTTTCTTGGTTCAATTGGAAGATTTTCAGTTTACAGAAGCTATTTGCAACAGCCCCCAAAGAATATTTGATTTCTCCATTGACGATATGGAGACTAAAAATGTTATCTACAACTAGGTTGTCAGTAGCAACCCGTAGTGTCGTTAAACCGCTACAGTAGCGGCGGCCAGCCGCTACAATCGCGACGGGATGCTGGCCGGTAGTGGAAGGTAGCGGCGTGTACATGTGTGCAACGCGACGCTACCTGCTAGTTGACAATGATTGTGGAATTATGTTTTTGATTTTGTGGAATTCATTATTCATTTGTGTTTAATTTTGGATCCTTCCTTAATGTTCCTTCTATTTGACATTGATTGTGGAATTATGTGTTTGATTTTGTATGACTTCTTATGTTTGAGCATTTATATTTGTGTAGTATTAGACTGTTAGTATAATATATATGGAATTAATTCTTCGAGGTAGCGGCAATACCACTACCCCGCTATACTATTTTCGGGGTCGGCCACTACCGGCCGCTAACTGCTATTGACAGCTATGATCTACAATATGCAACAAATATATTAGCCGAAGTGAAATAATAAGTTACAAGCTAATAATTACCCTTGAGAGATGGTGCACCAGTACATAGCTGATAAAATATATGATACAACCTTCCCCTTCTTTGCATTGGACTACTCTAGAATGTTTACATATGAAATAAAATTGTGTCTACTGATGTAATTTGAACACAAGTTAGAACATAAAATTAGCTCAGAAAAATGATTAATTACCTTTCCAGCAAAACTGTTTATGGTCATGCTGGGAGCATCGCATAGATTCAAGTTATAGATGCCAACATTTACCATTAGTTAGTTGGAAACTTTTAGTGAGAGCAAAACATATGGTTACAACCATTAAACAGCAGAAAACTAAACGTGTTTTAATACTAGCGCTGGAGATTTTTCCAATTTCACTGAAGTGAATCTCAATGAGCTTTCCCTTTCACAATTTCAACCAAATTATTAGAACTTTCAACACCAAAAGAATATGAATATAGGATCACAGCTTCAAAATCACAACTTGAAACCCACAAGAATGGAAACTTAAACCCACAGTTGTGGTTTCTCAATTTGTTTGCATTGCCGAAGGCTTCTAGTGTTTGATTAGGCTTTTATAACTCATACTCTATTTCACTTGTACCACCAACACCAAGGGTGTCCAAATGCTGCATTGCTATCTTTGCTGTCTCAGTCTTTTGCTTTTCTTTCACCACTGAATATGTAGATGATAAATATTATTATAGGTCCCAATTCAATCACAATAGAGAATTAAGGGGCGAACAAGGTTAAGGAAAACCAAGAAAGAGCTTTACATTAATGACAAAATCTGCAGCCAGCATGAAGAAGCTTTTATATCCATCAAAATGTTAACCCAAGATGGAAAAATAATAAGGGTGTTCTTCAGTTATGTTTTTCTCCTATAGAACTGGATCAGAATATAGAAAGAAAACAAAATGTTTATTGGCAGAAACCTCTATCTCTTTCTTTCTACATCGAAACTAGAATATTATTAATATAAACAGATAAACTTTTGGGAAAAATGAGAATTTCAAAAATCAAATTCGAACAATTGAATTAACCACTCAAGTGGTTACTGTTGGATTTTGGTCTAAATCATAAAGTTTAGAGCTCAGATTGATTCGTAATTAATTGTAGTTTGCTAATTCATTTTTGTTTCCTTTTTTTTGTTTAGTCAGCCTTTTTATAAAGGTATTAGGAAGGTTGTTTCCTAAAATATCTCTAGCCGAGTGTTTTACTTGACTTGGGAGATTTAATGCTGGAACTAAAAAGAATCAGTGGAAGGCCAGGGCATGTTCTCTCCTCCATTTTAATCATTTTGAATAATATCAGAGTTTTTCCCCTTGGAAAAAAAATGGTATCTTCAGTTCTTCACTATGTAATATGAGCTAGAGGATGAAGGCAAATCTGTCTCAGGCATCCTTATTAGATGAAGTAGTTGTTACTTTTCTTATTTAACAAATATTACTTCTTGTGCAGAAAATGCTCCTGCCTTGTGGTCTGCCTCCAGATAGAGAAGAAGATTGAAAAATCGCCATCAAGATTACAAATGGATCATCACTGTTTATGTAGCCTTTGACTTTTTATGTTGTAATGTTTAATTTTGATTGAGGAAACGGATGGTAGTATGTGACCTTGGTTAGAGATTGTTGCATCAACTTTCTTTTGCTTGAATAATGTTTTATTTGTTATAAAGCTTGGAAAACTAGATCATGGGATGTCATGTTTAGCTGCTGCTACTTCTTTTATCTTTCCTAAAGATGGCCCTTTTGAGTTGAATGAGCTTTTGTTTACATCCATAAAAAGGTGATTCTCCTTTGGAATGACTTTTAACATGACCATGCCAAGTCAATAAAAATTTGTGTTTTATCATTTTGATATGTAGATGGATTTGTGGTGATACTTGACCACCATTTTCTCTTTACTGGATTTGTTAGGTCTGGATGAAACTTCAATTGTACTTCTAGAATTTGAGAATTTTAATAAGAGGGAAGTTATATGTAACACATGGCGATTTTTGGGAGCAATGACTGTCACTATAAACTAACACAAGATTTTTTAGCGTGCTTTGTCTTCGTTCATATACTTCCTGAGAAACTTTTCAGGAGGTCACTTTTTCCAGAATTACTCAAAGTCAATCACGTTTAACTATGAAGTTATTCTATTATGGGCTATTGAAAAGTAGATGCATCTTGTCAGTATATGTAGTACTTATTGATTCTTGTAAGTCATCTTCAATTGTAGAGTTTCATATCTGCACAGTCTTTAAATCTTGTTCAGGTGTTGATTTGATTCATTCATGCATTTCTCATGCTGAAAGTCATAGCCCTTCTACCTTAGCGGGTCTGGACTCCAGACATTGGGCATGACAGCTGGTAATACAACCCAACACTCATGCTTTTTAGGAGCCGCTCATTGTCTGTACCTCATCTCTTTTGCATCGGAGATTACGTCCCCTTCATCAGCACCCGGGATGTTACATTATATTGCCAATATCTTACAATCACTTTTATTATGGTTGAATTAAAATTAAATCAATCGTTCATTTGATGTCATTTTTCAACTATTGATTTGATTTTGATCTAATGACAATAAATGTGGTTGTAAGATGTGGTAAAGGAAAAGAGGTTGTAAGTATCACTTTTGCTTTTAAATAAATAAAAAGAAAACAATTAATGGGTTACATGGAAAGGAGTGTAAGAAAAATGTGTAGCCCATGGTTAAGATTTTTCATTTTTTATTTTTTAATACGAGGTTATTAGACAAAGTTATAGGAGTTAAAATGGTATTTGGTTCTTAGTTCAATGGTTACAAACAGGTTTGTACATATCAAGAAACCCAGTTTTAATGGTGGGTCCCTCTTTTCTCGTGTTGTAGGAGAATTTTTTCTCCTGCTATAGACACAAAATGTGATGGGTTCCACCTCCCATTAAAAAACAAAAATAAAAAAAAGCTTTGTACATATTTCGATGTATCACTAGTAGAAGAAAGAATTCTATTATAACATGAGAATTCTTTTTCCCCTTTAATGGTAGTAATTAGTATCAATGATTGCTTTAGTGACTAACTATATATTTGGTTTTGATTAATTTTAAGAAAAAATGACTTTTTTACATTAAATATTTTTGAAAATAAGTTAATTTAAAGGGTTTTATTAATCTCATATTAAAAGAGATAAGTTATCTCATGTCATAGAAATAAACTTGTGGGCTCCACCACCTGAAAAAAGAAAAAAGAAAAAAAAGGTGACACAGTTATCGAAGAGTGTGTAGGAGAGAAATTTATCATATGTAGCATAAGAATAGTTTTTTCCTAATTTAAATAAATAATACGATGGGTTTTAGATAACAATTGATAAAATGGAAAACTTCTACAATTTATCGAAATGCTAGCTCCTAGATAAAAATCTATAACTAGTAAAATTTAATGAATTACAAACACTTTTGGAACAAACTATAAATATCAAGAATTTACTTTTTGGGTTTTCTCGTGAATCATGTACCATTTGCACTTGGATTTTCTAAAGTGAACCATACACTCAAAGATTAAGATATTGAAAGGTGTATTTCATTTGCTAAAATGACTCCTTTGCTTTCTTTTTTGGTCAAATTTCAAATTACCTTTTTAATTTTAAACCTTGGGAAAATTACCTCCTGAAATTTTAATTTTTTGCAATTTAATCACTTGAATGTTAAATATTTAGCAGTTCACAAATTCTTTCAACTCTTTTATATTAAACAGATCATTATGTTTGCATTTTAAGATTAAAGTAAACAATTAGCCCCTATAATTTCAACCAACTTAGATTTTGGTGCTTATAATTATCTCTTTTGGAAATCAATCTTTAGAATTTAACTTATTTAGCTTTTGAACCCTCAGGTACAAAACCTTACTAATTAGAAATTATAAGGATTAATCATTCATGTAAATTAACAAACAATAATATCCCAAATTGAAACTATCAGGACTAAGATTCAAATGAGTGAAAAACATAAGAACCAATATTTAGTGGTAAGGACCAAAATCCAAATAAATTAAAATATAAAGAGGAATATTAAAAAAAAAAACTATAAGGTCGAAAATTTAAATCGAGTGAACTTATTGGTACCAATTGTTTATTTAGACTATTGGGACTAACTTTATTTTATTTTCCCACCTTAAATACTTCTTAGCATTAAAGAGTATAGTTGTTCCAAACATAGTAATAATTTCGATAAAAAATATTGCCAATTGCTTAAAGTTCAAGCTGTATGTGTAATTTGCAAACGTTAAAGCTTTATAGGCAAAGTGCAAGGAATCTCCTCCAACCATAGATCTCGTGGAGGAAACTTTCATCAAACAATCATGTTGGTGTGCATGTGCAAAAAAACCCTGTAAGAAGTTAACTTCAATGAATGTTTATATTCACATAAAGCATATGAAGTTTTATCTGTTTCAGTTTACTTGTCAGAAGCAGCTATGGTTTTGGTCGTGAAGGATGAGAACGAATGGAAGAGCAATTAAATCTTCTTAATTGCATTTTAGAGATTTGAGATGAAGATTTGGGTTTGTTCACTAGTCCTTATATATATATATATATATATATATATATATATATATATAGCTTTGACTAATCCTTATAATCAATGGCGGACTTAGATGGTCACTGTGCGGACAGGAACTTCTAAATATTTTTTTTTTTAGTATAGTATGATGTTGGTTAGATTAAGTTTTGTTATACAATTAGAAATGAAATGAAAATGAATGGAATAAGGTAGGATGGAATGAGATGTCGTATGTTTTATTGTATATTTTATGATGTCATACAACAAATCAGCTTGATTAAAAACAAGTGTTGGGAATAATATTTTATGTTAAGGTGAAGTTTTTTTTTTCTTATTTATAATTTTTTGTTTTTTAATCTCTGTATGACAAAGGATATTGTAACAATCAAGTAGTGTTATCAATATTAATACCAATCAATTTTACCGTTGGATCGATTATGTGGATCCAACGGTTATATTTATTTTCATCTTTGTATGGTTATGATCCCCCATATTTAAAGTGAAAGCATTAAATATAGGAAATCATAATTATACAAAGATGGAAATAAATATAAAGTATTAAATATGGAGAATCATAACCATACAAAGATAGAAATAAATATTACCGTTGGATCAGCATAACCGGTCTAACGGTGAAATTGATTGGTAGTAACACTACTTGATTATTACAATATCCTATCCCTTAATGCATTTGAAATTTTCTTTAATTTTTTTTTTCAAATGTGCGGACATAAATAATATTTTCTGAGTCCGCCATTGCTTATAATAATACTTAATTTTCCATGTGTTTGATAACATTTCGGAAATAAGGATGACTACTTTGTATAATCATACATCATCATGCTTTGATCAACTTTGGTTTCCTTTATCACTTCCCGCTTGTATCAGTACCTTAAATCAACTCTTCACTTTTGCAAACTCTTTTCTGTACTTGATATATTTTCTTGGATTTGAATGAATTTAAGTTCCTACGGGTGCAGACTCGATTCATGAATTTTCTTTCCTTATGCTTTGCAGCATTTCATCTAAAACTTAATCAAATGTGATTCATATGAAAAAACCCGATTAAGCCTCAAATTATATTTGTTTGATACATTGTTGCAAATATTAATATATATAATTAGATTGAAAAAACATAATGAATTCAAATTAGAAAATGAAATATATTATTAAATATTTTTAATTTATTAATTCTGTTTTACCCTAAATGCATGGATGATGAGTAGCACTTGACTAGAAATTCAAAGGCAAAGTACTGTTTCAATAGAAATTCAATTTAAATTAACATTTTTTTATATTTGTAAATCTTGTTTCTGGGCATAGCCTTCCTTGTTTATTAAAATTAACAATTTTACCATTATTAATTTAATCATATAAGTAAGGGCGATGAAGTAATATTATCAAATAAATACAGGTAACTCGTCTTCATTATATTTTAAACATGAAGATTGATTTGTAAATCAAATCAAATCCTTTTTTTCCCAATAAATTTCAAACATGGGAAGGTTTATCCATTCAAATTGAATCAAAATAATTCTATTGTGCGATGATTCCAAACATGATTTAAGGAATTTGTCTACGGTTTAATATTTCTATTTTTACTGAAGATTTTGTTTTTTTTGCTACATCACATAAAAGTAAATAAATCTCGTTATATCTCATTAACTTTTTTTTTCTCTCACTCTTCTTAATAATTCAAACCACTCACTTTTATGTGAGTGGCAGAAAAAAAATTTATGCACGAAAAGCAATAATACTTTTTTCTCATTTTATCTATTTATTTCCTATTAAAGAAAGATCATATTTTTTAAAAAAATAAAAAACTATAAAATATACAAGGATAGACACACATTTTGCCTTTCTGGTTACAAAGGAAGTTGATGAACTGGTGTGAGGAGGCTATTGTAGTATAAAAAGCAGGCAAAGCGCACACTAAAATTTTAAATTTGATTGACAAAGAAAAGTGGTTGTTAGATTAAAAATAGCAAAAATCAACCATCCTAATAAAAGTAACAAGGTAACTACACAATTACCAGCTTCACTAAATTAAGCTTTTAATATACAAATTCAAGCACACAGGTACATGCATATTCCTCAAAAATGCCCTATTGGTGTTAGATTCAGGATTAAGCTTTGCACCTGTTAGCATGGTAATCACACCCTTCATATAGCTCTAAGCCAGTTTGGCCCAACTGAGAATCTTCAAAGCAAGCACAACGCTTACTCATCTTGCCAGTCAAAGCAATTTCAACTGGCCTCTGAACCAACCTAGGGTAGCCAACATCACACCACACCTGACCAAAAGTGACAAACCTGAGTCAATAATTATTAAAGAATTTGCATTAATGTGACTAGGATGAAACGTTTATAAGAAAAAATGTTAACAATTTCAGTTGTAACAAATTTGTCTTTGTCCCACCCCAAAGTGGGAAAGCCAGTTATTTATAGAAGCTTAATCCCAGCCAGCACAGCTACCCTTTTTTCAATAGTACAAACCTGCTACATTAGCAATCAAGTTTATCTATAGTATAGATACTTCTTGAAGTTGCTGTTTCCACAAGAACATGGGTGCAACATGGCACAAATTTAGCATGTCATACATTTCGTTTTTAATCCTTAGCATATTAGGTTCATTCTAGTTTCTAGTACAGTCAAAGCTGATCAACTTTATCACTTCCATGTAATTTCTGCATAAAATTTTCATCCTATTTCATCTAGTTTACTGCAATACTTCATTTGTTTTCCATATTATTTGATTTGCTAATCAAATATAGTTTGTATGTAAAAAATTAGCAACTTAAATAGTAATCGGATAACCTTGAACCAAAAAAAATAAAATAATAATAAAGTAATAAAATAACCATAAGGGACCACCAACCTGAACTTGATCTATCATGTATGTAATTGTTATTGGGAGAAATAACACCAGTTAATAAAATAAAGATAAACTGGTCTCAAATAATGACAGCTGTGTGTACCTCACCACCCTCATCTTGACTCCATCTTGAATTGCAAGAAGGTTGTTTAGCCTCTTCAATTTTCTGCTTTTCTAGAAGCTGTGCACCTCTGGCAGCCTTCGCTTCAACCCCTTTCAAATATTTAGTAGGATTCCCTTGACTATCGTAGTATCGACCAACTAGCTTGCCAACATACCTACACAAACAAGGATAAAAAATTCTGGTAAACATTTAAATTATATGCTGTGTCATGCAGAAGCTAGTGTAAAATAATTTCCTAAACCTAAGACATTTCTGGAAAGTGAAAACATATTAATGACATAAGTAGCTGGCTATTCAATGAAAAGAAAACAAATACAGGGCGTGTAAAAGCAGGTCTAGAAAAATAAACCATTGTTGTCTATAATACACGAGGACAAAGTTATAAATTATTTAGACAAAACCATCAAAATTGATTACAATACATGTAAACATGCTTCAAAGAAAATTGTATAAATACCAAAAAAGATAATTGATTCCAATCCATGATTAAATTATCAAAATTGAAATACACTCCATAGCTAAGATCTCATCAATAGAATAATCAACATAAACTCTACCATAATAATGAGGTATACTCCCGAATCTGAATATTAGAGAAAAAAGGGAATCGGAGGAAAGCTATTAGCAGCTAGCATTGTGGAGTGATAGAATTTTTCAGTTTTATTTTGTTACTACTTGTACTTGATATAAAGGATTGGAGGTATATTCTTGAAGGAATATATCCAAGCAACAATCAGAATGCCAAAAAAGTTAGTAATTGTTGTATAGGATCAGTTAGATGTGTTAGTTAGGTAGCTAGTTGGTTAGGGGCTTATGTGAAAAGCCTAGGTAGTATATAAAGGAGGTACACTTGATTGATGGATAGCTTTTGATAAACATTAAGTTGGCTGAGAGTTTCTCAGTTGAAGGGGAGCGCCCCTTGTGAAAAGGATTTTCCTCTTGTATGTTCTTGTTTTTCTCATCAATAAAATTGACATTCTCCTTCAATTTCCCATCTTTTGCTTCTTTTTCCTTTGGGCAGAGAAATTCCTTAGCGTGAGCAATCCAGAGCTGTAACATATTATATATACGTATTATATTTTAAAAAAATTTGTATTTCTTTGAATAAATTACATAAGGAGTATTTATACAAGAAAGGGTCGCTAAGAATGACTCAGCGATGACTAATCAATCCTAATCAATCAATCATAATCAATCCTAATTAATAGGAAATAAAAAACGGAAATATTTGAATCCTGATTTCCTACATATTTTCTTATATATTATTTAACTTTTCTTAATTTGTTCATGTCTTTATATGGATTCATCAAGTACCGACCCCAATTAATTTGGAAGAAAGGTGATGTTGATAACTTATCAAATAGCATAAATTCAGTTATAAAAGTAATAAAAAGATTACATGTTAGACATTTATAAGATATGCAGTTAAAATAGGTAAAGCTAATTCTAGACACTAATGTTAAAAGAAATTTTATTAGTAAAATAGGGAAGTACATCATTAGCAAGATAAAAATCTTCCAAAACATATAAAAAAGACGAAGTAATAATATATAAGAGAATGGTAGGCACTGTCCAATAACTAAGGTATACAGCAACAAAAAAGGGAATAGCAGCAGAGGATTGGGGGTCTATGGGGGCATGGGGGAAATTTGTGTGATCAGCATGCTGTGGGTTTGTTTTGTAACAACCTGCTTATGTGGCAGGTGGGGATAGAGGACAGAATCAGGTAGTGGAATGGAATAAGAAGAGAGGAGAATGAATATTAGACCTCACTGATTCTGATATCTCCCTGATATCAGTTGAAGAGAGAAGAATATACTCTTCCACCAAGAACGTGAATCAATTGGTGGGGAGTTGTTCCAGCTTAACCAGTGGTTTCGAGTTCAAGTCCTGAGTACGCTGCTATACGATAAAACTTGATAGGAAGAGTTTTGCTGCCTTTGCGGTCCTACTTGGCTTGAATTCGGGTTAGTCAGCGCCCGTTGTCTACTGGATACCGGATGATTTATACCAGGAAAAAGAAAAAGAAAAAAAAGAATACACTATATTTCTGGTTCTGTGTTGTGTTTCTAATCCAAGTTCCTATCAGAGAATAAGGAAAAATGCAGTGAAGCTGCCAAATCTCCATGCATAAATGAAATGGAAAAGCCCTTGAAACAGCCATCAGCAGAACAACAGAGAAAGGCCATACACACAGTCTTATCCTATAACAAGTTGAGGGACAGAGAGATCCCCTTCAATATGCCAGCAATTGGCACCAACCAAATGCACCAAAGAATTGGATAAATTGCACGGTGCTACAAAATATTTGCTTCCTTTTTGCCAATGCCTTCATATGTAACTAACCAAAACTGTTCAAAATGTAGAACTGTAGAAGGACAGAACCAGCACTCACCAAAAGCCCGAAACAAAATTTTTCATAAGAGAAGAGAAGCTGTCTCACAGTGCATAGTGCTCAATTGTTTCCAAACTAGAACTATACAGAACACATAAATCAGCACGAAGGATAGAGCAAGGTCTGCGAACTAATAAGTAGTAAATAAGTAAGTAACAAGTCATCTGATACTTCCTATTAAGCACCACAATCCAGACTAAGGGTTTGGCTTTAAAGGCTGCTTTGAACTTCCAAATAGGTTTATAAAAGGATTTCTGATGTTTTAGGTTGAGTTAGAAATTGGAAGGATTTACAAGAAAAAAAGCTCCCTACGAGTCCAAAATTTTAGACTATCCTATCTGGATTGGCAGAGAACTGAATAGAATCAAGTAAAACAAGAAGGGACTCTCAACGAAAAAGAAAATCCCAATTTCTAGAGACTATAATTGACTATACACATGCATAGTCTTATGCTTCCTAGGATATAAAAGTCTCTTTTAAACAACTTAAAAACCAACTTAAAAACAAGAAGCTTCTTACTCATTGAGCTCTCCTTAAAGCTACAAGAATTATGCTCCAACCATATGCACGAAGGTTTAGCATAGACAGCACATTGCCACAAAATTTCAAGTTCTTTGATTCTACCAATACCAGCAAAATTGATCGTCAAAAACTGGTCCAAAAGACCTAGGACATAGCCAACATCCAGAGATGCCAAAGGACGAATTCCACAAAGAAACAGTAACAGAAAAGTGCAAAAATAGATGCAGAACAAACGCTGGTATAAAGGTTTCTCAACCATATCCTTAAGAAAACCATCAAAACTAATCAAAGATAAAAAGTTATGCTATAAATCCAGAAGTCTAACAAGCCTTATGGAGTCCAAAGTTTAGAAACTTAAGAAGTCCATCAATTTGAAGGGAGGGGATCAATTTTAAAAATATAAATCTAAAATGGATGCATTCCAAAACATTCGTGTCTTTAATAAGCTATTTAAAGTTAAAACAAAATAAAAGATTGCAAGAAATATGACTCACTTATAAGTTTTAAAGTAGAAACCCCTCCATTCAACCACACTCTTCACCTGCAAGCACAGTTTAATTTAGGGGTAAGGTTTACGCTTGTAAACAAAATGTTATATCTATTTTTAAGTACGACTAATTCAAAAAAAAAATTGAAAGTTATAAATTCAATGAGACGAAGAGTAAAACAAGAAACCTACACTTGTACAAAATATTCTAAGGTAGTTGGGCCAAGAGACTGATTCCAAATTTAAATGACTAGAAAAGTATTTTAAAATCAAATGCAACAACAGAAAATGAATTTTGGGAATCTTTAAGGAAACAAGGTTAATAAGAACTAAACAAATTAAATCAATTATAACCTCAGTGCTAGATAGTCCACGCAATGAGTCAGTGAGACCATCTCCTACATAATCAGCAAAAAGGAATATAAAGAATTAAAAAGACATATTAGAATGATTAAAGAAAATATTGTCTATTGGAGCAGCAATAGCAGGAAAAGATTTGATACTTCCATAATATAACAGTCTTTAAGGCATTGCCATCTGTTCAACACAAGGTCTACGCACGGCCTTTCGATTTTTATTTTTATTTTTAAAGAAATTACAAGCTGTTGTTGACCTAATTTTATTTTTGTCAACCTTTTCTCTTCTACTTCCTCCCTCTCATATTTTAAAGCATTCCATGTACTCATTTATCTAACGATCTTCATTTTCATCAATAAAGCTTCTTTTTACTATAAAAAAAAAAGTAGTTATACCCTTTTTACAGTGAATAGAAGTAGATGACCATTAAGGATGTTGAAATATAAATTCAATATATGATATAAACAACTAAAAGATCATCATTTTGAAATATCCCAAAGAAAACCTACAATCAAATCAAAAACTGAGAACTCTGATTAGAATTCAAGAAAGAAGAAAGGCCAAGCACATACATTGCTTCCATTTAGTTATCTAGTATTTAATTATTCTATATCAAACAATGTATCAATTGCAATTGAAAACATTGAGAACATGTGAGATATTCAATCAATTTTGTCTACAATATTATATAAATTTGAAACAAATAAAACTGCAAAACCATAAACAAAACAGATCTGATCAGGCTTTGCAAAATCAAAACCATAAGAAACAAAGTGAATATTAAAAAAAAACAAAATTGAAAATAGTTACTTTGGTTTGGGTGATTATAAATCAGTTTTTTATCACCCAAAATTTAGAACATTATAAATTCTCTCAACTGTCAACAGTGAAAATGCGGTCATCATCTTTTCTGGTTGACCCAGTATCACTAATTTTCTTGTAGGAAGATAATTTTCTAATTAGATATGAAGAAAGTAATTCTTGAGACTTATAACAATTTTGTCTATAATGCAAGAGATAATTGAAGAAAGTTTGAAAAAGGAAGAAAAGTAAATACAAAAAAGAAGAAGAAAAATAAGGCAATCTACAATACAAGAAATAAATATGTAGTTGATCACATAAAAGTGCATGTTTGCTCAGACTAAACAATTATCAATGAATCTGCCAGTGCTTATAGTTATAGCCTTTCATTCTGTAACAGCGAAGTCAAATTGACATTTGAAATTACTTGCCTTCTTAATATCTGATATAAGCCATACCCAAACAAGAAAACCTACAACCCCCCTTCATACTTTTACCTCTTCTAATGTTTCACTTTCTTAGAATGAATGAATGAATATGTAAAAGAAGGGTAAATCAACCTAAACATCACTAGCTGGTTTATAACACACACAAAAAAAATTAATAATAATAATAATAATAAACATTTGGAATAACACTATAAAACTTATAATAATGGAAACATTGAGAAAAAAATGCCATTACTTTCAAGTTAAACTTCCAAATGAACAAGAAACACAGTAGAAGAGGTCCTTGCTATTTCCACAAAACATAAAAGGATGCATTTTTATTTTTGCTTACTTTTGACAATGGTTAATTCACTCATTAAGAAACACCAATCCAAACAACCCACATAACTCTTTTACCTGTGAAATTTCCAGAGACAAATGCGCGAGAAGCATCCCTGAATTCATGCCCAAAAAAAAAAAAAAAAAGGTGTCAATATAAGTTGAAACAGAAACATTTCATGTGATCCCAAACACAAACAAAACATGTTGGATGAGGAAAGGATTCAAGAAACATGCCTTCCAGCAAAATGATTGTAGCCCCCTCCTGAACCATAATGAGATTTCCCCTTCGTTACATCAAACACAGATCTATCACAAAAAATAAAAGACATCTATATTAGAGTTAAGAATCTAAAGCCATTGCCTGCAAATGAAGGAACACAATTTTGCAATTAACTTTCCCGTTCTCAAAGATGCATAAAATTTGACATACAACAGAGAGAGGAAGAGAGAGGAATACCCAAGAATTCCTAGAAAAATTGGCAACCGTTCATCAGTTCCATTGAACAATGCAAGTTCTTCAGCACTGAACAATCTCTAGAAACAAACAAAATGCAGAGTCAAAATCGTTGACTTAATGATCAATATATGACTTAGTTCAATAGGTCAGATACTTCCATTAAAAGAGAGAGAAACATAGGATCTTTTATCACCTAATTGAACCAGCGCTAATAAAAATCTCAAAAACCCTAAAAAAAATAAAATAAAAAATTACTTTTATTGATATATTTGTTTATTTATTTATTTTGCGGGTTAGCACTGACCTGTGCAGTGTCGAATTTGATGGAAAATCTGAGAAGAAGAGCAACGAGAAGGACCAAAACGGTGATCCCGGAAAGAGGGGAGGTTGCTAATGTTTTCAACGACATCACTTTGTTTCTCAGTTCAGAGACACATTGATATGTTTACATTGACTGTCATCCCTCGGAGAGGTCAAGGTAAGGTTCTACTTGATTTAATTTAACCAACGGAGTATCTCTTATCACGTATAGAATAAGATATTATATCAGTCTATTTTATCTATTCTATGCAGACACAGTAATTTAAAATTCGGAACTGTTATTGATTGGGTCGAGGTATTGGGCATTTGGGCTACTGAATTATTTGTTCAATTGATATACGTACTGTTGATATATTAAAAAAATATTACTTATAATAATATGAAGAAAGTCAATGGTATTAAATGTTATAAGTGAATGGAAAATATTATTTCTATGTGTAACAGAAAATGACACTAATATATTTTTTATTTTAAGGAGGTGTTTGGTATAAGAGATATTTTTTTATACCAGGGAAAAATGTTTCTAAGAATATGGTAGGAAACTATTTTTCAGAGAAAAGTATTAAAAAGGTGTTTGGTAGACCAAAATATTGTCGGGAAAGTAGGGTTAATTTTACTGATACTATGTTTAGTTGATGGTAAAATATTGATAGGAATGTTAATTAAATTTACCAAATTACCCATCCTTTTTGAATTTTGTACGTCTATTGTTAAACGTTGTTTTAGTACTTGGTCCATCTCAGTATGTTGGAAAAGTTATTTATGAAAATTCTGGTTAGCTCTGTCCCTGTAACCGGTGTTGTGGCTGCCAGAGATCTCATCCGCACCGCAAAAACACATTAGCCAGCCGTTTCCGGTTGCCTTCCACACCGTGTGAAAAGAAGGGCATCTCGTTTGCTGACGAGACCCAGCAACTCCAAACCACTGTGCAGCTAACCATGGCAAATTTGACATCCTTCTCTTCATTTTCCCCTCCTCCGTCTGTGTCACACATTCCATCCTTTTCAGCTTCATCGTCTTCTGTAGCTTTCGACGACTCTTCTGAGGACTCCTGCAGTATATGTCTAGAGCCCTTCGGCATACATGACCCATCACTGTATGATGTGATCAACCACTATTTTTATTCTCTTTTCTGGTTTGTGAATTTGGGTTTTTGAAAAAGTTACGAACTTGAACGAGTGGTCGCATTCCCATTAGCTTGTTGGTTCAGTCATGTTGAATTTTGATAACCTTCAAGAGGGCGTTTAGTCCCAAAAAATTTCACTCACAGTCCGCAATCAACGAAAAAATAAATCCATATGTAAAGAAGGATTTTTTTTATCCGCGTTTTAGTTAAAAACTCAAATCCTCGGGATATTTTTTACCTAGGAATTACTTCCATATCTTCATACCAAACATGGTGAAAATTTAATACCAACCCCACTTGCCCATCATTCCAATCAAAAAACCCATACCAAACACCCTCTAACAGTTTGCATAATTTATGATTTTTTAATTAAATCCTCGTAAAGGTAACTAGTGCATAAAAATAAAAGAATAACATTAGCTAAATGTATAAAAATAAAGGGAATAATATTTCTACAATAACTGCACCAAATATTTCTACAATAATTGCGCCTAATGTTATCTACAACGGCGGCCAAAACGTCATTGTTCCATGCTTAAACAATTAAAATCATTTAAGTTGCTCTCTGATTGGAGTTTTCATTCTTTTTTCGCTATTAATCACCATCCCTAAATTGTTCCACAATCCAGACACCGATGAAGGCAGTGGAAACTGTAGAAATACTCTCTAATTGGGGTTTTACCAGACACCGACAAAGGCAGCGACGAACTACCCACCCCTCTCTTGGTGACAGAACTCCTTGGGTGAAAGTCCAATCTTCAACATAATCCTATTTTTGCTGGTGAGCATCTCCACTTTTTATTCAATCATTTGAGAATCGTGTCATTTGTATGTTGCGCTTGTAGTAATTTATTTGTTTGTGCTGCATCTGAGGATCATGAGCCTTAGCTTGGTTGGTATGTCGTATATGTGATAAAACTATGTGCTCAGTTAGGTACGGAGTGGTGAAGAAACAATTGTTAAGGAAATTGATTATTCCAATTTATATATATGGCCTTTATTTCTTTATGCTCTTTGTCTATTGTTAAATTTGAAAATAGGGTTACTTATTTTCGCGTAATGACAAAATCTGAGTGATCATGATTTAGAAATCTTTGTTGGTATGGTTGTGATGACATACTGCATTTGGTGTTTTCTAAATTTGGACTCATATAAATTCAATTCATCTTCCAAGATTTTGGTATATATTTTCCAGATTAAAATGCCTAAGAAAACTTGGTTATAATGTGAAGTATTTGCTTTAACAGAATGCGGTGAGCTTACTTTATTTTAAGTAACACCTCAGGTTCATAAATTTCATTCTGGTGGGTGTTTTGGAAATATTTCAATCGGTTCATTGCTTCGCAACTAATCTGATTGGTGGTGGATCCAGGATTAAGGCTTTAAACCCCTCCCAAAGGTGGTATTGGAGAGATTCGAACACATGTTCTCACCCCCACTTGCTTAGCTCCCATGCGCCAACTGAGCTACCACCATTTGGTATTCTTGTGGGTGTTTTGACTGAACTAAATTAGTGCTTGCATTGTGAAAGATGATAGCCAAGAAAAGCAACCATTAAAGCCTGGAAATACTACCTTTATTTATAAATTAACAATGTCTGGCTTAATTCCCCTGAATTCCAATTTTCTAGATTGAACTTTTTATCTGAAAATTTTGAAATCTTGTATTTATTTTTTTAATTTTGTCTTTTTTTGTCCTTCTCTTATATTATGAATATTTTGAGTGACAGTTTGGTGTCTATATAAAACAGTTTAATGTTGCTTAAGTTATGATATCTTTATCATGGACCACTCACAAATAACAACTATTGAAGACATTGACATAGGTGAAAGTTTGGTATCTTTTGATGATGATGTTGATTTTGAGAAAGACATTGATGAATTTGGAGAAGATGATTAGTGCGAAATCATGGAAGACAAAGATTGTGATTGTGGGGAAGATAATGTACATGAAATTGTGGGAGAAGATGATAGTGAATTTAGTTAAACCCCTATTTTAGGTAGAGTCTTTAAGACAACAGAAAAAGCTTATGATTTTTATAATGATTATGCAGAAGGTAAGGGATTTGGGATACGTAAGCACTACAATAACAAGAATACGAAAATAGAACAACTATATAGGTGGAGATATGTGTGCTCAAAGCAAGGTGTCCAGAGACTAAATGATAAAAGAGTTGATGTTCATAATGTCAAAAGGCGAAGGGATACAAGGACTAATTACTTAGCAATGTTCCAAATAAAGTTAGTAGATGAATCATGGATCATGGAGAATTTCAATGATACACACAATCATCCATTGATTAACACTCCTACCAAGGTGAAGAAGTTTCCTTCTCATAATGATTTACAACGCTCAGAGTTTACTAAATCTATTGTTTCTAAGCTTTATTAAGAGGGTTTAACGTCTTCAAAAATTTCAAAGGTGGTGAATGCTATGGACAAAGAAGTTAATATTACCCCTGTTCAAATTAGCACTACTATATCAGGTCAAAGAAAGAATAATGTAGGGCGAGAATGTCAAGGCATCATCAAACACACTTAAAGGAAGTCCGCTCTTGATGGAGATTTTTATTTTGATATGCATTTGACAAAAGATGGCACATTAAGAAGCGTCTATTGGGCGGATGGTAGGTCAAGAGTTGCTTATGTTCAATTTGGCGAAGTCCTTGTGTTTGATGTGACTTACAAAACAAATAAGTTCAAGATTTCTTTTGTCCCTTTTGTGGGGGTTAATCACCATGGGCAATCAACTTTATTTGTTGTCATTTTGTTAGAAGATGAAACAGAGGCAACATTTAAATGGTTATTTGAACAATTTCGAACATGTATGTTTAACAAGTCTCCAGTTGCTATTATTATTGATCAAGACAAAGCTATAGGAAAAGCAATTGCTAAGATATTTCCATAAGCACGACTGATAACGTATATTTTATTACACTTATTTATTATTATTGGTTAGTATTTTTAGGATTTATTTGAGTTAAATAAAGGTCTTTTGGGTCAAATTAGAATTCTAGATTTTAATTGGGTTAAATTGATTTTCGTCAAAATTTTCCAGATTTACACTACTTTCGTATTTTGGCCATATCTCACTTTACAGATGTTCGATTGACTCCGTTCTTATTGAGTTTTTGCAGCTAACAGAAAGGGCTACAATCGCTATTTCAGATACTGAATCCCAATTCAGACGGGAAGATGGTCAAAACCTGATCCCAAGATGGACGTGTTTTGCTGGAAATTTATGTTGACGTTTGGACTTGTAAATTAAATTAGAACCCAACGTGTTTAGGGCCCAAGGCCATGTTTTAATATTTTATTTTATTAAGTTTTTATTTTATGTATGGGCCGAAGTGGTGAAACCCTAACCCGTTCTGATTGTGGGTTATTTAAGGAAAACTTTAGGAAACCCTTCGGCAGTCAGATTTTGAATCAGACAATTATTTTAAGCTTTTCTTTGGAATTCAAAATTCTGCACTTTTCCTCTTAATCTTCTTCTTCTCCTTTTATTTTATTTTGAATGATGTTTAACCCCGCGATGCTAGGCTAAACACCTTTAATCATTCTAAGGATTAAGGGTTCGTTAGTTTATTTTAGAGGATCTGTTTTAACTTTTTAATCAATTTCATTTTTTTTTTCAATTTAGGTTGAATATCATGCGATTGTAGGTATTCAAACTGAATAATGCGATTGTATTCTATAAGGAAAATTGATCATTAGATCTAATGGTCAGATAAATTAACCCAATGAACATTAGTTGAACAGGTTTAAACTACTGCGATTGCATAGTTTAAATATTGTATTCAACCAAATGCTAGGCGATAGTCTAGAGAGGGTTTCCAATTGAATTTGAGGATTCCGAATTCAATTAGGGTTAATCACAAATCGATAATTTTGTTTTTATCCAATGGCGAAATAAATTAATGAAACCAAAGTCCTTAGATTGATTGCTTTTAATTCTGATTTGTAAATCCCAATTTCAATTCTGATCTTATTTAATTTTCAAATCAACAAATTCCCCTCTTTCCTTTTATATTCTATTTTTTCAGAGCGTTTTTGATTTCTAGCAGG